CCGACCCTGCGGACAGGCACCGGGGGCTGCTCGCCCAGCTGAGCAACGGCTGCAGACATGCTCCGGTGGACTCGAAGCCATCAGTCACCACCAGCTTAACCCCTTGTCCCATTGGGATGCCAAGGGGAGTGGGAAGGAATTGTCTCATAGGGCTGCCCAACACCCCACTGTGCCGACCCTGGGGAAAAGAGTTACAGACAGGGTGAGAACCACAAAGGCTTTTTAAGTGGAGATGATGAATGCAGGCTAAAGAAAAGGGATCGCCTAAATTTAATAAGGGACACCAGGAGCTCCTTGAGATGAAATCCCGCAGTCTTCACATCTGTCTGCAGGACCAGAGCGAGCAGAGCTCGCTGCTGTGGAAGGATTTGAGTTCCCTGGTTGTGATGAGGACGGACGGGAACCCAACGGCTGTGTTAGTAAGCACTGCCCTGCAAATACCTGCCTGGACCACCGCTGAGATGACAAAGCCCCAGCTTTGTCTGGAAGGAAGTTTTTTCACTGGGAGTGTTTGGCAGACTGTTCTTTAGTGGTTCCTGGTCCCCTCCTTGTCTGAGATGAAGTTTCCTTTTAGCTGGAGGAGAGATTTGCTCCCAAATTGCTCTGACATCAGACGCATCCCAGCCTGGGAACCCTCCCGCAGCGCACACCGCGGAGCAGAGCCTGTCCAACGCCAGGCTTCGCACGCGGCCGGTGCCAAATCCCGTATCTGAAAACACAAGATGTTTCCTTTCTCTCACCGCAATCGCGCCCAGCACCTGCAGCCGCCATTGACGTCAGGCACAAGGGCAGGCGCTGGGTGCATCTCCCGGCCCCGCGGGGAACGGGCTGCGGAGCACCGGGGCCGGCACTGGGAACAGAGTCTGGACGTCGTTCCCGAAGCGCCTGTCAGCGGGCTGCAGCCTGGGTTTGTCTAGTAGTGCTTTCCCCGGCCAAGGCAAGCGCAGAGGTATTTTACGCAAACTAAAGGGAGTATTCGAAAGCAGCGCTTGTCCGTGTTCATTTCCAGCACTCAAAATAATGCTGCGGTTTGTGAGAAATTGTGGAATGGGGTCGACTGCATTTTATTGATGTCACTAAGTCTGGTCAAAGCCCCTGCCTGCATTTCCACGTGTCCACACAGGCTCACCAGCGGTTGAGCTCTGACAACATTCTCGTTCAGGGCTTTTCCAGCTGCAAGCTCCTCTCACAGGGGAGCTGGAAGCCTCATCAGGACAAACCGGGTTGGAGACACGGGGCTTGGGCTGGACCAACGCTGAGCGAATGGAGCTGGCCCGACGGCACTGGAGAGAGGGAGGATGGAGAACAGACCTCCAAGCTTGTCTCCAAGCTGTGTCCTCCCCGGAGCATGTTAGCTCCCAGGCGCCCGGCCAAAGCCAGACTGCAAGGCCAAGCTCTGTGTAGAGGAGTTATTTGCCAGGTAAAGTTGATGGGAACCTGAATCCATGAAAAGCTCTTCTGGCTGGTCTCCTTCTGCAGGAGCAGGTCCCTGGAGAGCATCTCCTTGGGCCAGGCCCTGTCCTCTCCCCGTGCGGTGCCTGGGCTCTTGCAGGCAGTGAGAAGCGATAAAGAAAAATTAGATCTGGCTGGCGAAAAAAGTTCCCTTGGGAAATTTTGACTTTTTGTCAGAAACTCCAGCGCGTTTCTTTTTCAGCCCCAAATAAGCATGAATAGGAACAAAGATTCGGTTTTGGCAGGGGGAAAGGGCTCACCAAAGAAAACACCCAAATTTTTGAGCAAAGCAGAGACATTCTATCATTTTTCTCCCTGGTTGAAAAAAAACCAAATTTTTTGGGGGGGAAAAAAGAGAAAAAGGAGGAAATTCATCGAAAAAAAGTTGTAATCAGTTCCCACACCACTACCTGGGGCAAATTCAGCTAATTTGGCTGATTCCCCCCCCCCTTCCCCGCTGCTGCTTCCCACTCAAGCGGCTGCAGATCCATCCGGCGCACAGCTGGCAACATCTGCATCACCTCACCGCTCGTGCCCTGCCTCTGCCCGGCGAGGGCTGGGTCCGCAGCCCTCGGGTGACCGCCAAGCCCGACTTTCTTTCTGGAATTAGGAGAGAAACCAGGGTGGGCCGACGGTCATGAGCGAGCGGGTGGGAGCTGAATAGGGTTATTGTGATCTTTATCTAGGAGGATTATTCCAGGCAGTGTGGGCTTGGCAGGGCAAGGCGGTTGTTTGGCCGCGTTGGGTTTTGCGGAGCGATAGGTATGGCCCCAGGGAACGTGCGGCAGAAACGGGCTGGGGGAAATTATTTCACGGTAGCTTCGTCCTTGCAAAGCGTTCGCTTCCCGGCAAAGTCAGCGGAAAAGGAAAAAAATGAGCGATTTTCGTTCGCAGAAGTCTGGCGCGGCTAGGACAGTCTGAAATGCAAAGCCTGGCACAGAAGTCACGCATTTTACTGGAAAGTGGGAACTTCTTTCCGTTTTATTGGAAGTAAATTGGAAGCGAGAAGGATGGTAAGCGCACGGCGCCAGCGCAATAACCGAACAGAAGCATTTTAAGGAGCACTTCAGGACTCCGCAGCGCAGACCAAGAGTCCAACAGCACCCCGAGATCGCACCGAATTTTACGGTATGGCTGATAGCTAGCTGTAACTCTCTGCCTGCGAGATGGGTTGGAGGCCTGGGGGGACCCGAGTCCCCCCTGCTCCCCTGGACCTGCTGCCGAGGGAGAGACCCTCCCTGGGGCAGCGGTGGGACATAACGCAGCCGGGACCCCCGCGCCTGCCCCAGTGCCACCAGGCTGCGGGACTGGGACCCCCCACACACACTCCCTGCCAGATATAACCCGGGCTCGGCCGTGCCTCAGCGTTGAAGACGCCGGTGAAGAAACCGCGCCCCCTGCTAGGGACACATCTGATTGTGATTTGGGGGGAAAAAAAAAGAGGAGAAGGGAAAAAAAAGAAAAAAAAAAAAGAAAAAGAAAAAAAAGCCCAACCCCGGCTGCTTGGCGAGTTTTAATTTTTTTTCCTATCGTCGGAGCTGCAAATATTTTGGAAGACGGGGCCGTGTTTTCCGTGTAAAC